TACCAGGGTACGTTCCAATATATCGAACAGTACCCAGGTTACCCTCCGATAGTACCCTGGGGGACATAGACCCTATGAGCAACAGTAGGCCTAACAGTATGTGTGCAATAGTGATGGGCGGTGTGCGGTGGCTAATCTGCCTGCAGAATGACACATCAAACATTACATAACCACCTGAAGGAAACTTATGTCGTGAAATTGTGATGTTAACGTAAAGTTAAAAGTCATTTAAACGCATAAAAATCACAGGTTATATAACATTATAACCATCTCAAGGAAACTCGTCATGGTCGTAGAAATCACAGGTTATATACCCAGTTTGAAATACATGGATTTTTGCATTACTTAGATGCATGGCCTGGATTATTTTTTACCCTATTTACAGTAGACATGGCTCATGCAATCTCGGGGAAATTAACTGAGTGGGCAAAGTCCAACGTTCGACTATCCAACCGAACTCTTCCCATTTCATTTACGCAATAATATTAAATTAATATAATATAATATAATATAATTTGCAGTTCATATAAACGTAATGAGCTACAGAGAATTACAACGTCAGACAAAAAGAGAGAGGGGGCAGCGTGAGAAACCAAGAGAGTAGATATAATAATGTAACCCAACAAGAGTAGGTGACATTATTATATCTACCCTTACCCCCTACTCTTGTTAGGTTACAATATTGTATCTACCAAGAGAGGCACACATGCACATTTGCACAAAAACGCATGCATACACAAAGAAAAGGAGAAATTTATAGTGGACAGAGAGATAGATAGTAGGAAGGAGTACGAGAAAAATGTGCACTTTGCAGATGCCCAAGTCATATATTCACACACACGCGCACACGCAGATGAACGCTTTTTAAGATTAGATTCTAATATTTAAATTAGATTGCTATGACACCTACAATAATGCAGAATATCGACATCTTCTCAAATGTACCAAGAATTTCAAGAATATGTTAATCTTACTCCTACAATCCTAATATGATATCCACTCTGCGAATCGCCATCACCAAATTATGCGTTCATTATGCTGCGTATGTAAAATACCAACGTACCATTAAATCGTACTTGTGTGCGATATACAAGAAAACGTTTAATCATCTACAAACTGTATATTGTTATATGTGACAACTTGTATATAAAAAAAAATTTCATGGTTAATATAATTATATAAATGTACTTCACAGGGAAGCACATGGTTGAAGAAGCAAAACCTTGGAAAATCTGCTAGTACACATATAAGTATTAGGTATTGTAATATGTATCAAGTATTATAGCAGGGTTCAAAATTAAGGGTTATCACAGGTCGTCGATAGTTGGTGTCATCTTCATCGTATCACAGGTCGTCGATAGTTGGTGTCATCTTCATGGTATCACAGGTCGTCGATAGTTGGTGTCATCTTCATGGTATCAGGAGTCTTATCAATATATATTATATCAGATATATCAAAATATATTGATAGACTCCTGATGGTATCACAGGTCAATGATGGTTGGTGTGATGAACATCCAGTATTAGCAAACTGCACTTATGCACGCAATGCTCACGCGAAGATGGCACTTCGTTTACGCCTTTTCAGAAATTCTACGAGCCATAATTTAGATAGAGAGTTGCACATAGATTGTCAGAAAGATGAATTGGAGTATTTTTCAACGTGCTTATATTATTTTTTGACAGAAAATCGTGAAAGTCCCAAGCTGCTGCATCCAGCAAACTCGTAATAGTCATAAAATGGAGGTGTTCCGGTGTAATTCGCTTGAATAGTTATGATACAAATAAAAATAAAAATATAAATAGGTTAAACCTATTATACGTGTATAACTTATATAAACCTGTTCATGGTAAATTGGTCACTGCAAGGAGATATAAAAAAAATTCATACTCCTATTTCTAATTTTTGTATTGTCCTGTAAATCAGGCTAGATTAGTAGATAATGACTTTTATTTGCTTAAACCCTTATATCTATACGATTTTTATTTAGCTGTAATAAAATGTTATCACCATAAATCAGCACCTCAAGATTTGAATGTTAAATTAGTGAGCCTTATTAGCAATTTGATTATAAGCAATGTAAAGGAATGGTTGATTGTAGTATTGGTGGTTTCATAATATTCTGCACGAGTATTAATATTTTTTGTGCGTATTTGTATAGTTTTTTTTAGCCTGATCAAGAATTCAAATCCTTTAGGTTGGTACTTTGATTTGCTGTGAATGAAGGTTTTGATTGCAATCCTCGGTGAAAACATCCGTGGGTTGAAACTGCAATTTGGCTGATGCAACTTCATAACATAAAACGAATGCAAAAGAAATAAACTATTTTGGCAAACAGTTATTTTGTATGTAGTACTTTTTGTTCGTTTTCTGTGTGTTATGGAAGGGGAATGTTGTGGGACCACAAATCTCAGTTCATTGTAGACGTCTTCTCTGTTATCCGTAAATGTTTCCTTTCTGATACTTAGGTTTTTACTGAGGTAGACCTTGGAGTGATCATTCTGATGTCGGTCAGAATGATTACTCCAAGGGTAGATTGATTTTATTGATCGCGTGATGTAAACATCGAATCGAAATTCATTTTAAAATTGAGAAATCTTGCTAACACCAGCTAAAAATCACACATTAAAATAGAGGAAAAATCGATTTTGTGGTAAAATAGACTTACCGTTACATTGATTTCTGGAAGTGAATCCATTCATTATTCATTCTAACGGTGATTCACGAATCTCACTAGCGAAATATACACCCTATTCAGGTGCGGATTTAGGCCGGTTTGCACCGGTTTCCAGAAACCGGTCACAGGCTGGGTATCTTCAGAATTGACCCTCAAAATCCACCAGAATATAGCCTTTTTTTTAATTCCCGGGGGGGGGGGCATGCCCCCGGACCCCACTAGCTGTGACTAGAACTATGGAAACTGGTCACCCAAACCCTCTGGATCCGCCCCTGCTATTCACTGTGACAGTTATGCTAATCAAATCTGTACACCACACGACGAAGATATTAAAGGTAATTTCAGTACACGTCTATGATTGGTATCAACAGGTTATACAGAAAATAGTGTGCTGATAACTTTCTTCTTGGATGTACACTTGATATAACATGGGATGCCATGACACGTCACGTGTTAAATAAACATTCGAACTAACACGTTTTGAATTTTGAAAATGCTCGGTGTTTATAAATACTAAAATTCACCAATATGACAAACGTTTGCACACGGTGACACAATATATGCCAGTATAAACAAGAATAATATCACCACAGCACAATAATGAAGATTGTAGCGATCCATCCACTGATCTATATTTAACATATATAATTATATATATAATCAGGTTTCCCTCGCCCCCTCTATTTTCCTCTTGCTCTCGCTCTTTCTCTCTCTCTCTCTCTCTCTCTCTCTCTCTCTCTCTCTCTCTCTTTCGCCTTCTCTCTTTCTGTCTTTCTCTCTGCATCATATACGGTCAATGTATTTACATATATGCTCTATGCTGTCTTTCTTTCTCTCTTTGTGTGTGTACAGGTGTCGGTAAAAGTTCTGTGTACGGGTGGAATCCGCCAGTTTGCCATCCTGTCAGCGGAGGAGTGCGACTGTGCGCTCTGTAAGCGGCGACGCTGAGTGACCATCTAGGCTTGGTCTGCGACCGGACGCCATGTTTGGTCTGCGGCGGAAATGCTGTGATGGTGGGCAGCACACTCGGATTATATGGAATTCTGTTCTATATCTATATATATATATATGTATATATAATATGATAATGAGATGAAATTTGATGTTTGATTCTACTTGGCGGTAAAAGTATATAGATTACAATACGACATGTTATAAAACTATGATAAAGGTATGTATAAACGACGGATTACTCTTTGAAACGGTCAGTTTATAGGCGGTATTCAGATTAATGTGAGTGATGCGATATCACGGTTCGACTGTACTGGCCTGAAAGTTGTTGAACGTGCGTGAAGTGCTGTAGTCTTTGATGTCACTACACCGTGTCATGTTCACGGTTCGTGGCGACTTCATGGTTTTCTACTTCTTTCGTTTTTTCGTCACTATAGTGCGCTGATTGTTGTTGTTACTGCCTACGTGTAAAATCGTTGGACGCAGCGAGGTAGGCGGAGAGCGACACGCGTGCCCTCGTGTACAAGATTCTTCCTCGCAATCAGCTACCATTACCAACCTTACAATACCAAATATTATGTTCTAGGGTTAAGAATAAATCATAACGACAGATGTTCAGCACTCAATACCTCACACACATTACAGTAATCTTCTTCTTCCTCTTCTTCGTGCGTTTTTTATTCAGTCGGCACATTTAATTTGTCACCTTATATCATAATATCTACTTCTGTAATATCTGACTGTGTATTTTTTCGTATCTAAAACGTGGTAATTTAGCCGAACCGTTTGCGTTGAGTGAAGCTATAATTGTGCAGAAACTGTGTCCGGTTTCTATTCCTTAGTATTGCAGATTTATTTTCATTAATTTTACCTATTGAACGAGTCACGCAAACCTTGAAATTTGAAATGCAGTCGTAAACATAATATTATTGATCTATTGCCAGCAATTTTCTCTAGTATTTACTTCTCGTAGCATGTTGAGATACTGCATATTTCGTCCACATGCATGTCTAATATACGCTTCCGCCTCTTCATAGCCGATTGCCGGTGTCGTTCGCCATAGAAAGTACTGTAGCAGTTATCGCGTTATAAGATAATAAGTTTAGTTTTGCAATAGTAATTGTCTGTGAAATAGCAGTCGAAAACTAACGGGTTCTAGTAAAAGCTGGAATTTGCCATGATAGTTATACCTCTAAAATTACACAACTAAAATATAACAGTATTGGCGGTATATTCGTTTGCGCGCGTGT